GGTAATCAAAGGAGGAGGAAAAGTCAGTCATTTGGTGGAGAGCATTAGATAGTTGTAAGGGCAGGCATTCTCTTTGAGTAGAAAATGCATTTGCAGGAGCTAATTGTATCTTCTACGGGGAAGAAAATACTGGGACAGTTAAATATTTTTCTGAAATGCATAGCATTAACCTAGGAGATGCTGCTTTGTCTGTAGTGTCTTTTTAATGATACACTGAATTCATCAATGGAGTGTATTGATGTTAACAATTTTAAGACAACGCAACGCGTAAGAGAAGGTGCTCCTTTCAGCTGATCATAAGACTGCAGGACAAGCCTGTGAATTTCTATTGATGGTGAAGATAAATAAACGACCAATACTAATTCTGAACAGAATGGGAAATTGAAAGCAGTTGTAACGTCATACTCTGAGGATCTACAAAACAAAGTTAGAGTAAACTTCCAAGATTACTGTCTTCCAATCTTTTCTGTCTAGAATTCTGCTGACTCAGTATTTCTGGAAATTTTCCAGGGAAGTGGTATGGAGTCAAAGTTATTTGAAAACACATCAAGCCTTTATTGAGTATCTTAAATGCTGCAATGGTAGTACTTTAAGCTTATCACAACCCCATGCATCAGTGGTAGTCATTTGGCTTGTAAGTACTTTTCAAAAGCTCAAGAATGCAGTAAGTTAATGGTGAAGAAATTGTACTAGGCATAATGCTACTAAGTGTTTGGCTTGCAAGATGCTCATGAGAGCTGACCAGCAGCTCAACATTAAACGTGATCCAATGAGAGTGAAGGTGGGTACTGCTGGAGTTAGACTTAAATCAGATATGCAAATCTCAGAATGGATAGAACATACATTAATGATCTTTTTTTCATTGATTTTCCCATCTTTTTTAGAACTTGTTTGTCTTGTATCAGAGCAATTGAATTCAGGATCCACTTTCTTTTCTTTCTGATAGGAGAATGAGAAATAGCCTTCACACAAGTATTCTTGTAGGGATTAGTGGGATTTTTTTGTCTCTAGTACTGGACAACTGAAAACAGAAAAGGCGTAAGTGTGCTTTTCTTCCTAAAACAAGAAGCCTGTAGTGAGTGTAGTAGCATTTTTGGAGTGCAGTGTCACGATGGGTTACTAATACAAAAACAGTGTACTTTTTTTTTCGCATCACTGTGCTCCAGTAAAATGTCACATTTGGCTTGCATAAAACCCTTGTTGTTTCAAGAACCTGTCCGTTTATTTTGTTCATATTCTCCCTGTCCCCTTCCCGGAGTACTACATTCAGGTGCCCAGCACAAGGACAGGAGCAGGCCCAGACGAGGGCCATGGAGAGGATCAGAGGGCTGGAGCACCTCCCCTATAGGGAAGGGGTGAGGGAACTGGGCTTGTTCAGCCTGGAGAAGAGAAGGCTCCGGGGAGACCCTGTTTTGCCTTCTGGTATCTAAAGGCGTCAGCAGAAAATATGAGAGATGCTTTCTCAGGACAAGAGAATAGTTTTAAACTAAAAGAGGGGGGGTTGATATCAGATATTAGGAAGAAATTCTTCTGTCTGAGGATGGTGAGGTGCTGGCACAGACAGCCCAGAGAGGTGGGTGCTCCATCCATTGGAAGGGCTGAAAGCCAAGTTATCCAGTGGGTAGTGTCCCTGCCCCCAGCAAGGGGTTGGAAGTAGATGATCTCCAAAGTCCTCTCCAGCCCAAAATATTCTATAACTGTGAAGATTGAAGGTTTTCCATAATTCCTTGTATGATTAACACCTGTATTGGCAGATGTCATTCAAACCAAGTGAATGGGGGTGCTGCAAAAGTATCATCCGAGAGGAACTCGCTGCAGGGTATTGGACAAAAGTAAATGTTATTTCCCTGAAACTCCACACCTGGTTACTACTGAAGAATCACTTGTCTGAGCATAATGATTGCTGGCAAAATACTCAGCTACTGTATGTAGTTCAAGCAACTACCCTTTAGAATGCTGTGAAAAAAAAAGTAACGAACTCCTTTGTCTAATTTACTTTTTAGATTATGACACACTCAGCAGATATTTAGTACCATGAAGTCTGGATTATGCCCATTCCTGTAGGTTATACTTTTTGGATTAAAAATGTATGCCTATTGAAAGACAACATGACAGCTCAAATCAAGGACATTGTTATCTTTCTAATAATAATATTCAGTCCAGAGAATTCTCTGATTCTTTAGTCACTGTCCATTTTTAAATGGAATAGCCAGTCTTCTTACTATTCTCCATCCTACCTCTCCTGGGTTATTTTTTCTCTGAAGGCCTCATACAGGGATTTGCGTTTTGGCATCTCTCAAATCTGCGCCCCAGATATGTCCACTTCATTCAAATGGTGCTGGAGATGAGCTGCTGGCTGTGTTCAATTTGTAGAGCAGAAAGACTAGCAATCTGAATCTGACCAAATATGAATCTATTGTAACTGCATAGGAAAATTAACTTCAATATTGAAACGTGAAGAATTGGGGTTGCAGGGTGATTCAAATTGACTCTTACTTGCAAGTATGCAATTCTTTGTGTCTTTTGTTGTTGTTTCTTGGGGGTTTTTTTTGTTCATTTTCCAGTGTCAAGTACGAGAACTTCCAAATAAGCAAAATAACATTTGACCGTGCTACTGAAATAGTTTGTGGCAAGGTGGTTTTGTTTTCTTCTGCTTGCTTCTCTGTCTCAGAATCAGCAAGGCAGTGACTAATATCAGGAAGGCAAACAAAATAATCAAAATCTGCCTCCTGTCATTGAGAAACTTAACAAAATAGGTGTCAGAAAACAGTTTACACAGAGGATATTTATATGAAAACAAAAAAAAACAAACAAAAAAAAAGAAATAAGCAATAGAAATGAAAAGGGGAGAGAAAACTCAAGATAAGTCATATAGCTGTGGTTTAGAGATACCGAGATAGGAAGAGCAAAAGGAAGGAAGATAGCACAAATCATGAGAAATAAAATGCCTTTATCTTAGCCTCACATCTGTTGTGGTGCTTGGGGAGGCTGCGCAGGTTAGAGGAGCACTGCACTGTATGAAAGTCTGTGGTTATCTTATGTAGTGGTAACAGACTCATTTCCCCCTTGCCCCACAACCCACCTCATACATGCTCTCCTGCTGTTCAGAAAACTACTTACTTGTCAGCTCCAAGCATTCTGACCATTAGCAGAAAGGAGAAACAAGCTTTTTCTTCGATACTGTGAGTTACTGCAGAAAATTGGCTGATCTTTCCAGACTCAGCCTTTTCCACCTCTTTTTCCAATGCAGTCCTGTTTGCACTTGCTGGCTGCTGAAAGTCCTCTGTGACACTTTGGAAACAGCTGCATCTGCACCAAAGCAGGAGGGAAGATATGAACTCCTTAGTAAACAGATTTTGCTTCTCTGCATGAAGTTTTCTGATGCTTGACTTCTTACTGTTTATTTAGGATACCAGTGTCTGTCTGGTCACCAATTTACACAATGCCAGCTTTCTGGTAGCACCTGAATAGCTAGCAAACTGTTTGCATGGTTTTCTACTCACATTGATGGCATTTTATGGGTTCCAGTTTCTTAAATTTTTGTTTCTCGAAGTATGAGGTAGGAAGATGGTCCTTGGTCTGCTAACCATGTGGAGAAATCATGTTTTTTCTCGGAACTTTACCATGGAACTTTAGAGATACACAAACTAATGATGATCTATTGTTCAAATTAAGCGTTTAACATTCCAAAGCGTATTGATGCTTTCGAATGCAGCTCAACATGTAATCTTCCCTGTTCCTCCTGGCTGATGCACAGTCACAAGTTCTATTATGTGCTATTGAATTTGAAACCAGATTAATGTCTCAAACTTTTCTTTGTCAATAAGTTAGATGGTATAGGGGTGAAAAGCAGCTTTTTGAAATTACTGGTTATTAGATTGCCAACAACCACAAATATCCCTCCTGTGAAATTCTTCCATTGGCTTCTCATCAGTGCAAATGCATTGCACCACTCAAATTGTTCATCCACTTTGCACTCGGAGAACAGAAACCGAGCCTGAAACCAGAAACTTCCAGTTACAATAGCATGATAATTGATAATTCTTCTTTATCATGCTCAGATTTAATGGCCCAATTAAACTGTTAATACATGGCATGTCTTTCCTTGGGATGATTATAATAAAGTTTCCCTTGGGGAAAAATCAAACTCCTTGTTCAATGCCTTTGGTTTGACTGTGTTCCTAGGGCTTGACACCTGCAGCAAAAGAAGTACCAAGTAGGACTGGGAATGAAAATCTGTTTTCTTGAGCCACCGTTACCGCAAGGCAGCACAGCGCTATCCCGATATCAGCAGGAGCAGCACGTAGCAGCACAGTGCACATGTCCAAGGATATTAGTTTTGATTTCACACCGCTTTCAATAATGATAAGCACTTAGATTGTTTGGGATTAGCTTTTTTTCCTTCTTGTTCTTAGTAAACAGCATTTTATTTTGTACTGAATTCTTTGGGCCACAGGTCTTTGCTTAGAGAAAAACACATTTAAATTTACCTGGCAGTAAAACATGGAGAAATGGAGATAAAAACAGCTTTCTGTCATCCTGCTGTGCTTCCAGGCGCTGTGAGCCCTGCAGGAACTGCACTGATGTCTGCAGATACGTCAGTGTGAGCCCTGCAGGTACGTGGTTCTGAGCCCTACAGGTGCATGGCTCTGCACCCTAAAGCTACGTGGTTCTGAGCCCTACAGGTACGCGTTTGTGAGGGAGCAGTGCATGGCCGCAGCCTCTCCTGCCCATCACTGGAATCTCCTGCGCTTCTCGATTTCCTCCGTTATATTTTGGACTGAGCGTTGTCATCCAGGCAACTGTTCTCAGCGCTGAGCCTCCTCTCCATTCCAAGCACCCTCTGACACCGCGTCTAACCCCGTCACACCCGATCGCCCGCCCCATCGCACCCCGGCCCGTCCCGTCCCGCCCCCCGCCCCGCGCGGTGTCACGTGCGCGGAGTCACGTGCTGCCCGGAGATGGCCGCGGCGGCGGCGGCGTTCGTCGGGTGCCCGCGGGCCTGAGCGCGGCGGAGCGGCGTGCGGTCGCCGGGCGGCCATGGAGGTGTACATCCCCTCCTTTCGCTACGAGGAGAGCGAGCTGGAGCGGGGCTACACGGTGAGCCGCTCCGCCCCGGGCCGGGCCCGCCCGCGCCCGCGAGGGGCTGCGACCCGGCCGACTGAGGCTGCGGTGGTCGCGCTGGGATGGGGCGGAGGGGGCACGTCCAGGCGGGGAGGCGAGGGAGGGAGCCGGACTTCTCGGAGCCGGGCCGGCGGCCGTGCTGCCGCGGCCGAAGGCACCGCTATGCCCGTCCCGGCGGGTTCCAGCAGCGGCCGCCGCCTCGGAGCGTTCTGCAGAAAGCAGGCGGCGCCGGCTTCTTTCCTCACGTGCGTTCGTTCGGAATCGCGTCCCCCAGAGCGGCTCCGTGTAGGTAAATGGCGTGGAGCGCTTCCCTCCTGCCGCCCGATGTGTGCCGCTCCGCGTTGTCGGCACGAGCAGAACCGTGCGCCTGGCTGTGCGGGCTCTTACCGCTCTGCGCTCGGCTCCGTGACGCTGCCGACGTGGTGCAAAGCAGTACCTTCCTCGAGCGCAGCGCTTATCGATTAAATCAAAGCAGATGCGAGTAAGGGACGTCATTGCCCTTCCCTTGGCTGACGATTGGGTCGTCATCTTCTGCCGCAGAGCCTCCAGGCAAACCTGAGAACTTCGGCAGCATTTTGCCTGCGTGTGGCCAGCGGTCTGTGAGTACCACGGCTGGTGCTCCTCCTGCTTGGGCCTCCGTAGGGATCTGTGCTGACACCGAGCGAGTCCTGTGCCGAGAGCCAAGGAGGATGTGCAGTGCTGTGTGTGCATGAGCAGGAGTGTGCATGAGCAGGAGATGTCCGGGCCTGCAGAACAGCTCAGCCTTGCAGACCATTCTGGATGCACGCAGATGGAAGGGTGACCACAACCATACTTCTGCCTCTTTGTTAAATTTGAGTGCGTGTGGTGACCTGCAGCGTGCTTTAGGAGTATGAGATCATCTGTAAAACATGGCTGAGTATTTAAAACAGGCAGAGTCAATTGGAATCCAGCACGTCCCTCATCCCTTATGAAAAAAGGTTGAGGGAACTGGGCTTGTTTAGTTTGGAGAAGGGAACACTCTGGGGAGACCTCATTGTGGCCTTCCAGTAGTTGAAGGGAGCATATAAACAGGAGGGGGAACGGCTGTTTATGAGGGTGGATAGTGATAGGAAAAGGGGGAATGGGGAGGTTTAGGTGAGATATTAAGAGGAAGTCTTTCACACAGAAGGTAGTGATGCACTGTAACAGGTTGCCCAAGGGGGCTGTGGATGCCCCATCCCTGGAGGCATTCAAGGCCAGTCTGGATGTGGCTCTGGGCAGCCTGGCCTGGTGGTTGGTGACCCTGCACATGGCAGGGACTTGAAACTGGATGATTGTTGTGGTCTTTTTCAACCCAGGCCACTCTATGATTCGGTGATTCTGTCAAATAAATGTCCCTTGATTGGTTGAAATGACAGAGGGATGTGCAAGTTAGGCACACAAATCATTGCTTTTTTTTTTTTTTTTTTTTTCTTCTAGCAATACATATTTTTAATATTTGAGTTAGTATTTTTTGAATGTCTGCAGTCTGACTCCTGCTACCCAGAGGATCTGTTCTTTCATTTTACATGCATCAAGCTGTGTAAGCATCAGAGAAAATCAGAAATGAAACTATCCAGAAACCATAGAAATAATTTCGAAAAAAAAAAATTTACAACACTGTTATTTTCTGGTCAGCAGCAATGACTGAAGCTCATGCAACTGAAACCTGCTTTTAGCTCAGTAGAGATCGATGATTATTCCTGCGTGATTACCTTACCTCTTCTATCACGTGATGAGTCAGAATTTCTACAAAACATCATATTGAAAAAAAATCATTCTGTAAACTGTTGGATCAGTTCTAGGGTTTACCTGAATATGAAACCATACTAAAATGTGTAGGCAGAGTTCCTCTGTGTCATGCATATTTGTGGCAGAGAAGATGGAAGTCAGTCCTGATAGTGACATGGTGTTTTACTATGAAGGCTGCCTCCTGTTTTATGATGTTGGTGCATGATTTAAGAGGTGGATGGTGGTGATATGGCAGCAGAGGCTGAACCTTCTCACCAGTATTTCATTCCATGTTGTTGCCATGTGACAGATGGCAGCAGAGAAGCAGTCTGACAGAACTGGAAAAGCATATGAAGCAAATATGTGGAACTGAATTCCTCCATGCAGAAACAATGGCACCCATTGACATTCCTTGACATGTGCTGAAGTTTACAGAGACCCCAAGCAGTGGATGTGAGCACAGTGAGGGGTGGGCAGTGTGTTTCGGCAGTAGTGACAGTGATGTGAAAGACAAGCCACATTCCATATGGCCACTTACAAGTGTCACACCACGAAATGAAGAGCATCTTGATCATCTCATCCACTCAGATTGGCAGATTATAACCAGATAGCTGTGTATGGAGCTGAATATTAGGCTTCGGTGTGTTGGAAACTATGGTGAGTACTCTGGAATATCGCACAGTTCGCACCAGGTGGCTTCCATGACTGCTTACAGAGGAACAGAGAGAGCACCATATGCAAGTTTGTTAGGAGCTTTTGAAGCAATGTGAGGCTGAAGGTGGCAATTTCCTGGGTTCCATCATTACCACTGACAAGACGTGGTGTCACCACTACAAGCCAGAATCAAAATGGCAGCCCATGGAGTGGTGATATTGAATTCCCTATTGAAAGGAAAGTTCAGGATGCAGCCCTCGGGGCAAAGTGACATGCACTGTCTTTTGGGACAGGAAATGGATGAATCTTGTGAATTTCCTGGAACATGGAAAAACTATCAACTCAGACCACTACATTGTGATGCTAAGCTGAAGGCTTGAACTTCCAGAGTCATGCCAGGGAAGACAGACCTTTCTCTTGCAACATGGTAACATCAGGTGTCTACCCGTCTGAAGACTATGAAGCGTGGTGACAACCTTTTGCTGGATTGTCCTGCCACATGTGCTCTATAGTCTGGATTTGGTGCTGTCTGACTTCTATCTGTTCAGCCAATGGGTGATGGATTGTGTGGGCAGCATTTTCATAGCACCAAAGCCATTATAGCAGCTGTGAAACAGTGGGTCATCTCCACTAGTGCAGATTATTATGAGCTCAGTGTGGAGGCTCTTGTTCATCACTGGCAAAAATGCACTGCTGGTGGTGGTGACTGTGTTGAAGAAGAGTGTTCTGTAGCTGAGAATTTGCTCTATCAAACAGCGTTACTGTGCTCTTTGTTGTAGGTTCCCTGGAAATAAGTAAGAGGCATTACTTTTGGAGCTATTTATCTACATAAATAGCTTAAGTGTTATACCAAGAACTGAACTTCATGGCCGGTGCAAATGAGGACACCATAAATCCTCCTTCCAGCAAAACTGAGGTTGATGAGAGCTCTGTTCGAGGTGGGAAGATACTTCATAGGAAGAGAGATTTCCTTGAGAGGAAAAAAGTAACAGAACAATTATCTTTTGTTGAACAAAAATTTCACCTGGAGAGTTGGAACATGTAAATATGCCAGAAGTTCAGACCATGTAAACTCTTTTTGGGATGGCCCACAGTGGGGTTATTATTCAGAGCTGTGCTCTAAAGTATGGGTTTTGCAGAGCACTGAAGTCTTTGTGATTAAGTAGACGTTTCACCACTTCTGAGCTATTAGGTGTGATGAATTAGAAAAGTTGAGATAAGAAAGGGATGCTGTTACATACCTAATCTCCTTGAAATATAGCCTTTAAATGAAAGATGGTTGCTATCCTGGGGCTCTGTAGCATATCTGAGTGAATGGAGTTTTTTCTATTAAATGTAATAGATAATTAGATTTCAATTATTTTATGTCATTAAGCTTGCATATTTTACTCACCTTTAAAACAGTATGATAATGTTCACAGAAGGGCTGCTTAACACAGCTGGTCTTGGACAGGTGATAACTTGCTCCCTGGTGTGACTGAAATGAAGAATTATCAGAGGCAATGTGATCTAATGGTGCAAAAGTGCGATGGAAGTGGAGGCATGTGGATGGTTCTGCTGGGTTCCCTGCTAGCAGTGTGCCAGGAGGTCATAGAGGGCATCTTCTCTGCTCTGTGCTTATCAATGGGCCATTGCAGTGAAGGAGGGCTTTAGAGATGTTACTGATCGTGGTGGTGGTGGCCTCCTGCATGCTGTGGGTGGCTCTGCAGGCTCATAGTGCTTTCCTGGCAATTCTGGCCTTCTGCTTTCTTATCTGTCAGAGCAGGATCTGTTTTCTCTCATACTCATCCTGCCACTGTCACACTGCCTGGAAAGGAGAGTGTTCATCCTTTGCTGTGAGGAAGCTTGATACCAGCTTGCTTTTTTGCTTCCAGGTTGATTCAGAAAAAGAAGGGAGTACAAATAAAATGAAGCAAAAGTCTGCAATGCAAACTTGCGGTGGTACTTGCTCAACAGAACAAATGAAGAGCTGGGTTGCTTTCTGTCGTTGTTTCAGGGCTTATGCCAGAATGCTCTTCTCTTGTACAGAACCGTGAAAGTTTTTTTCCCCCCCGAAAAATCTAGAGTAATCTTACACTTCTGCTCTTTTTTTTTTATTTTATTTTTTATTTTAGTGTATACATAAAGTGGTGCAACAGACTAAGGAAAGTGTCTGTTTTCCTTGTGGACAATTAGATTTCATTGTCAGTTTAAATTGATGACACTAGCTTCCAAACTATTGAGCCTGTGCTAATAAATGCAACAATTGTTCATAATTTGGCAGTGAATGACCTTTAAATGCAGACGCTTACTAAGGATATCCCTAGGGAACAATTTAACTTCGAAATGACACCCGTGTGTTCTTGTTATCATTTAAATATGCTCCCTTTGTCAATAGCAGAATAATAAATACTAGTTAGATTTCTGATGTTGATTCAGATGCTAGGAAACTTACTGAATATATTACTGTACATTTGATTTATATTGACCAAAAATTTTTTACAGTGGTGTAGTGCTGGTCAAGGTGACATACGTTTAAACGTGTTCTAGAGCAGAGGTCGTACTTGACTGACACATGTGCTTACTGTGTTTTTAATTAACACTTTATTACT